AGTTTACGATGTGTTTTATGCTTTATTTATTTATGACATATTCTGTGTGGACTAACGCAAATGTTTGGTTTTGGAATGATTTTGAATAAGGGTCTTTAATGGTTCCAAGTTGTAGTTTGATTTTATTTGACTTTGTTTGTTTCGGTTTTAAACTTTACTTTCGTTTGGTGGACTTTTGAGTTGACTTGTTTAAACGGTTTTTAATTTTAAGTCTTCCGTTGTGTATCTTTGATAGTTGCCTTAGCCGTTTTCACGGTGGCGGTAATGTCTTAGATATTCCTAAATCGTATTTTAAAGTGGGTATTTAAAGGAAAAGAATTTCTAGGGTGTTACATTAATGGCCGAATTCGTGGCCGTTTTGGGGAAGGAGGGTTGTTGTTTAGGGTTTTAGCCATTGGTTTTGGGGCATATTAGGGCTGCGAAAGGGGATAGGGAGGGTTTTGGTGCGTCTAGTAAGGGAGGGGGAGATGATGCGCTGGCGTTTGGCCGGCGGCTGTATTGGGTGAAGGTGGCTGGGTGGGGCGGTGGTGGGGTTGCAGTGGCTAGGTAGATTTACGATTTTAATTTTAAATTTTTCCTTTTTTTAAAAAAATTTCAGAAACAAATAAAATGGTGACATGTGTCACTATGGACCCCACTTAACATAATTTTTTGCCCGGAAACCATTAAGTGGTGGTAAAATCCATTTTTTGGAAATTTTTCTTGTGTTAAAATAATTTTTTTTTATGGGGGTGTTAAAAACCATTTTCAGGTTTTTGTGAGGTGTTAAAATCTAAAATTTCCTTATTTTTATTATTAAACGATCAATTTGAGGGAAGTTATAACTGTTTTTATGGCAATTTTAATCCCTTTAAGATTGACTTTTAATTTACATTGAGCTTATTGTATTTTAATGTGTAACTAGTTTAGTCCCGCGCATTTCACGGATTAAAAATATTTTTTAGTTAAACTAGTTGTTAATATTTTTAATTCAAAAAAGTGTAATTATAATCCCATTAATTAATTTTGAAAGAAGTAGTGTATTTATGTAGTATTAGAACTTAGGAAGGATTCTTCCCCCAAAAAAAAAACTTATGAAGAAAAGATAACGAAAAAAGCATATGATGATGTCAAAAATAATTTTGGCAGGAAAAAAATTTCATACTAGTAAAGTGTTGCATGTGTCCCTTAATGATATCAACGTGTTTTGTTTTAGTAATAGTTATAGATTTCTAATGGATACATGATTAGAAGGCTAATTTAATCTATTCATTACAACTTTTTTTTTTTTAAAATAAAATAAAATTTATGTTAGAAAAATGGTAAACTTTTATAATATGTGAGAGGTACTTTTAGGGTAAATTTAATCCGTCTTACAATAAGTTAATGAAAGTTCACCTAAATCAAGAATTTGTGCATTTCCTAGCATATCCAATTTATATTTTAGGACCAAACAACAAAAATTAGTTTTTTCCTTTGTTTTGTTTCCTCCCAAGGATCTCTCCAGCTTGGCCAGAAGGATGTCCAGCGTCTGGTTGTCAATTCCCTAAAAGAAACCTTTCAGTGTGATTCTGTGCCTCCTTATGATCCGGAAATCGATGTGGTCCTGCGTGAATTAGATCTCCCACATTTCAATTCATATCAACTTGCAAACCAGGAACGACCCTTCTCCGCTTCGAAGATTCGTAGCGCGATGTTTTCTTTAGGGATCAGTAAGTCGCCGGGTCCGGATGGAATTACAGTCGAATTTTTCAAAACGCACTGGGATGTTGTTGGCGACTCGGTTGTTACCGGCATTCAAAGTTTCTTCCAAACGGGTTTCTTACTGAAAGAATGGAATCGGTCTCTTCTTGTTATGATTCCTAAGATTGGTACGCCAACAGAAGTTGGCCATTTACGCCCTATCAGCCTTTGTAACACAGTGTATAAATGTGCTTCCAAGTGTTTTGTGGCCAGGGTGCGCCAATATCTCCCTTTTCTCATCTCAGATTCTCAGCATGCCTTTGTTCAGGGACGCGTTATGACAAATAATATTTTGCTGAGTCATGAGTTAATGGAGAAAATCAACTGTTCGAAAACTGGCACAAATTGGCTGGCCTCGATCAAAATTGACATGAGCAAGGCTTATGACAGAATTCACTGGAGTTTTCTTTTGCGGGTTTTAAAAGCCTATGGGTTTCCGGAACGTTGGTTACAGATGATCCAACAATGCCTTGCGACGGTTTCTTACAAGTCCTTGATTAATGGTACTACTTCGGAACCCTTTAAACCACAATGTGGTCTTCGTCAGGGTGACCCCATCTCCCCGTACCTCTTCCTTTTCTGCATGGATATTTTCTCTCGCATGCTGCATTTGGGTCAGGATTTTAAGCTTTTTCAAGGTATCAAGCTGTCTAGAAGGACCCCTTCTATCTCGCATTTATTCTTTGCGGATGATGCTCTCATCTTTTTCCGGGCCTCGTCTACAGCCTGTACCAATATCATGCAGATTATTCAGCGATTTACTAAGATTTCAGGCGAACAACTAAACTTGTCCAAATCCTTGATTAAGTTTATCCCTAATACCTGTACGTCTGCTCAGCAAGGCTTCAAATATATTTTCCAGATGAAGCATGTTCAGGTGTTTGATCATCATCTAGGAGCCCCAATTGACTTCGTCGGAAGGAAGAAAGATCACTTTCAGTTTATCATTGACAAAATTACTGGGCGAATTAATTGTTTAAATGCCATATGCCTCTCACAATCGCAGAAGTTAATTCTTATTAACTCAATCCTCATTGTTATGGCTTCCCATGTTCTGGCCTGTTATGAGTTACCCGTCTCTGTAACAGGGAAGATTGACTCATTACTGTTGCGTTTCTTCTGGGCGCATTCTGATACTAAAGGTATGCACTGGGTGAATAAGGATACTATGCACCTTCCTCGTGGCCTCGGTGGTTTGGGCGTTCGCTGCTTGTCTTTGTTAAATAAGGCCTTGCTCATGAAACAAGTTTGGATACTCTTTACTAACCCGCAGCTGCAGGTTTCTAAAGTTTTTAGTGCTCGTACGACCTTTCTCTCCAACAACCTTAATTCTCGGTCTCGTTATTCGGGTCGCCACTCCTATGGCCTTCGGGGTTTGCTTAAGGCGGACACCCGGTTGACTTCCGGTTGTAACTGGAAAATTGGTAATGGCATGTCCACTCTAGCTGGGTCGGCTAAGTGGGTCAATGGTTGCATTCCTGAGTTCAAACCGGGAATCCTCTTGCCAACTTCATCCCCTCCTACTGTCAGTTTCTTCATCAATATTCACACCATGGGTTGGGATACTACTAAAGTTGTTGATTGGTTTGTTCCGGCGGATGCCTCAACAATCCTGGCTATGGAGGTCCCTGATACGACTCAGGATGATTTCCGTTTTTGGTCAGGCACCCCCTCGGGAAAGTACTCGGTTAAAACTGGGTATGCTATGCTTCAACAACAATTGCCCTCTACTTCTTCACCTTCCGTTTCTGTTTCTTTCTGGAAGGTTCTTTGGTCGCTTCCGTTGCAACCTAAATGGAAGTTGTTCTTATGGAAACTGCTTCACCGCGCTCTAGCGGTCAAGGTGGAACTCAATCATCGAGGAGTTCCGATTCTAGACGTGAGTTGTGACCTCTGTCGTTCGGAACCGGAGGATTTACAACACCTTTTTAGAATGTGCTTTAAGGCACGATCGGTTTGGAGGGGTGGATGCCTCGGCATTCGCTCAGAATTTAATGGAGACCTTTCTCTCTCAGATTGGACCCAAGATTATATCCGACTTTTTATCAGTCAAGATGGTCTTTCTAGTACTCGCATAGGTACCTTTGTCGGTACGCTATGGAGCTTGTGGTTAGGTCGTAATTCCAGAATTTTTAGGGATTCTTCTGCGTCTCGGCCTTTTGAGTCTCTGTTTCAAGAGGTACTGAATAGTCATTCAATCTTTGTGAATTCAGACGCCCCTTCTAGTATACCTACTACTGCGACAACAGTTGGGGGTGCCTCTTCTCCGCCTGGGTTTTTAATGGCACAACTTGGCCTGACTCCCCATGGCAGTGCTTTACTATCTCTTCAGGTAGATGGCTCCTGGTTCAAGGATTCTCGACAAGCAGGTATGGGATGGTGTTTGGACAATGATGACCCACTGGATGATCGGATCAGTGGAGGTAGTAACTTCGGGGTTTGCTCCTCACCTTTACATGCGGAGGCTTTGGCTTGCATGTATGGGCTTCAGTGGGCGTTTGATAGGGGATTTCTGTATCTCGCGGTTTTTACTGATTCCTATAATTTGGTCTCCCTGCTTCGTGAGGAGGGCCAAGGTTATATCGCCTATATATGGCTCATTCGGAGGATTCTACTACTTGCCTCTAGGTTTAGAGTGTGCGGTATCCATAACGCGGATCGCCAGCGCGTCCACAGAGCTCATCTAATTGCAGGAGAAGCGGCGGTTAACTCTATTTGCTTTAGTATTAATATGTAATATCTTGTTTGTATCCTTTGTCAAAAAAAAAAAAAAAAAAAAATTTGTGGGAAAAACTTTTATATACACCCAATTACACTAATACATCAAGCAATATAAGGGTAACTTTTAGCTAATTTTAAGGTAGCTTTTTGCCTTTTTTTAGATGACTTTAAATATAATACAATTTTTATATAAATAAACAACAAGAAAAATTTTATAAAGGTAATTTAATTACATTCAATCACTAACAATTGATTTTTAGTAATTTAAAATGTAATTCTTTACTAACAAAGCTTAGATAATTTTTATTTGTATTGAGTTACTTTTATGCATATTAGAGTAACTTTTATTCATTTCACGGATAACTTTTGCTCATTTTAGAGTAACTTTATAACGGATGTTTTATTGTACATATTGTACATCCATTTTTTTATAAAAAAGTTTGTCTTTCTGCGGATCAAAAAGTACATTAAGTTTGGCAATTTAACTTTTTTGAAAGGCATCTCATCAAAAGAGCTCATGAACTTGTTGGGAAATAAAATATGGCTGACTAAGAGAGTGAATATGATATTCAAATTTTGAATACACACTATGATTACATTTCAGAATTTACTGACTAATCATATATCCACAACACAATCAGTATCAATTAACAACCTAAACAGCAAGGACCCAAAACAAAGTAAGCAACCAAGAGCTACTATGTGCAGCCATTTGCTTCCAGAATGTCTCTCAATACACTACCTAGAAACAAGCCAACCGGGTTTAATTAATGCATCCTTCTTGAAATTACGGCGCCCTACAGATGTAGATTCCCCAAGGCGACGGAAACACTGTATGAAAGATGCGAGATATTAGACAGTAGACCTAAGTAATGGTATCAAATAATTTCATATAAAACAGTTTCTTAACACCAGAAAAAATCAATCCACAAAATTCCCACCAAAACAACAAAAACAATTATCAGTCTACAAAATAAGCACTCAGCTCTACGCCCAAAAGATCCATTCAACATTTATTAAGTATCCTTTAGATTCTGAAAGTGTATCTGAAATTCTAAACTAGAAGATACAGAAACAGTCACCCCCCTAACTTAGAAGCATACATATTCTTTTTTTCTGATATAAAACAACCCCTGAGAAGGATCTTTATTCGTTAATCCCAAAACCATCCCTAGCTTAGAAAAATATACTTCGTACAAAAATTATATGTACTTACGCTGGGAAGATACAAAAACTCATGTACCTGTGTTGAATGGTACAAAATTATACAAATATGAACTTATATTCCAAACATTCAAAAAGCTGCCCCTGAATGGTAAACATGCCAAACCATTACTTAATCCCCTAGTCCTACCCCCCCCCCCCCCCCCCCCCCAAATTTTTTTTTTTTTTTTTTTTTGCCATATAACCAGCCTTTCCTCTGCTCTCTCTCTCCCCCCCCCCCCCCCCCACCCACCCCTTGCGGCATACCCCTACATCACTGGTCCAGCCTACATGTACAGATGTACTTGTGCTGGGTGGGAACATATGATTTAATCTGGCCAGTTCTTCTGAACTCAACATCATCATAGCTAAAATTAGATAATTGAGCTTAAACAGTTTTAAGTGAGGCAATGGTAAGCAATCTAGAAATTTCACAATGGTTTATTTTAAACCAGGAAGCCTCCCATAGACTCTCAATGTGCTGTAATGGTGGGGCCTGGATAATTGTGCAAAACAGATTAGCAACAGAAGGCAGATGGAGTGTTTTCTCTGCTATGGTTGACAGTGGATATACAAATACCACAATAGGCTGATCAACTCAACAAAATCAAGTCCAAGACACTGCTGGTTCTCCTATCATTTTGCACATTTAAAGTAATTGCCTAAATAAGGAGTGGTGATGGAGGCAGGGAGGAAGATGAGGTGTTGACCAAGGGGAGAGAGGGTGAGCAGGGGTAAATTTAGGTGGTGCCTTTCCAGCTTGATGGTAAAGAGATAGAAAGAAAAGTTTTGGCCGAGTTAAAGAGGAACAAAGAGAAAGCTATAATGATCGTAAAAAGAAAGAGTTCTATGAAGGTTTCAGTGTTGCTGGAAGCTATGGAAGAGAGAAAAAGAGGGGGGGGGGGATTTTTTTTTATTTATTATTTCTTTTCCAATTAAGTTAGAGATTGATTGGAAACTTAATTGAGTATTGAACCAATGAACAGGGTAAAATAAGAAACATTTTAGAATTTAATTAACCTTAAGGTTTGACAATACTGACTAAAGAAAGGGTATGATTTGATGGAATAAGGTTGATAAAGTGATTCTTGTTTTAAAATCCTTTATAAATAGGACAGTTAGATTGGCAAAGAGGTAAAAAATGAAAGAGATGTATACTAATATAAACATAGGGCAGGAATTTGGTTACTAGTTTACTATTAGTCATCCATCTCTACAGTGAAACAGAGGGAGCTTGTAGGTCTATTACCAACTTATAGAATTCTCTAGAGCAGAGTTTATTCTCAGAATCTAGCTAAATATCTGCCAGAATGAAATACACAATGCCATTGCAACACCAAAAGAGATGACAAGACTACAAAATCCACCATTTACCTACTGCTGAATTTATCACATACAAAATTACCAACCTTATAACAGACGATAGAATCATCAGGGTACATTGCAAAGAGCTTGGTTCCAAGACGGGCATGGCAAGAATCACATAAGCTCTCATCATTAAGCTGCACATTCCGTGCTCTCTCTTCAAGTCTAGCAAGCCTAGCATCAACATTTACTGCACGCGAAAGACTATGCACAATCTGGGAAAAAACGCGTTATGTCAGATCTGCAGGGAACTTAATAGTGTTCTATGCATTAACAAAGACATCTGGATTCTGGAAATAGAATATACAATACAACATAAGCAGGTTATGTTTGAGCCGAGAGTACTTTAGTCAAATGTGAAGATTAAGGGTGATCTCAATAATTACAAGGAGTCTTTTTTGTTTTAGATCCCCCGTATGCAATATGTTGGCTTTTGAATCAGTCCAATAAAAACCTAAGTGAAGAGGATTACTATAAGGCTTTTGAATCAGTCCAATAAAAACCTAAGTGAAGAGGATTACTATAACTTTCTTAAAAGTGGCATGTTACAAAAGCAGGTTTTGGAAACCCATAAGGAGCCTTGATTGTGTCAAGATACATAGCTCTTGATCATGGCTCGACTCAGTTGAATCAGTCAGATAAAAACAAAAGTGAAGAGGATTACTATAACTTTCTTAAAAGTGGCATGTTACAAAAGCAGTTTTTGGAAACCCATAAGGAGCCTTGATCGTGTCAAGATACACAGCTCTTGATCATGGCTCGACTCAGTTGAACTTAGTTTCACAAAGTTTGAGCTGGATCAAGCCATCTTGAAATTGGCATGAATGTTGTTAGTGGATTTTGTATTCGAGCTCAGAGCAACAAGCTATTTAACAAAACAAAAACAAAATATAGTATTGCTGCAGTACTGCTGCTCCTACTTGTCTTTGTGGTAGTGTACAGATCATGCAAGCCATTTAAGATTCATTGAGGCACTTTAGTAAACAGCAGACTGGAGACCTTTTAGAGGTTCGACCACTCCAAACCACTAATTTATGTGTTTAGTAGAGGCTAGATTCAAAGAGCAGTTTGGTCCCAAATATCTAATTTCTAAAAGCATGAAAGAGCAGCATTTTTAATTAGCAGTTCAAGATATAAGACATAAAAAGACAAGTTTGCCCCAAGCTATATTCCACATGCATCCTACCTGCCTCCTCTACTCAGTACTCAACCCCATAAAGTCCATATGCAACTGCAATTCAACTTCCATTTTTGGTTATTGATGATTTTGGTAACCTCATCACCCAAAGCCCCCAAAAAGAGGAAAATCCCTCTAGCTTCATCATAATTCCAGATCTAAATATGTATGCATGCTTCAAGTTGAGACTTGAGAGATTCCAGACATGGTAATGAATTGTCAAGAAACATTGCAAGATTTGCAACTGGTAGTAATTTTTTTTATCAAATTACATCTCAACATGGTTGGGAGTATATCAAACTCAGTAAGATCATTTAAAGAAAGAAAAAAGGAGAAGGGTCAAGACAACAAGAGGAAATATGGTAGGTTACTATTTATAAGAGATGGAAAATGTTAACATCCTTCATTAATTTCTGTTTGTTTGGTGAGATGAAGTTCTTGGAAAATTGCCACAAATGAGCCTAACTGCCTAATCTTAACATCATAAACTTTTTTTTTTTTTTAATTTATTTTTGGTGATCAAAGTGGTACTACAGGTTTATTACATAAGCTAGATTGTACTCTCTCTGTCCACAAATGATAATCTTGTATTCCGTTTTTTAAAGGAGTGATTTTACAATTAACTCTTAACTATTAGCTACTTGCCAAACACACATATAACTAATACAATCATCTACTAGTCACCAGCTAATATAATCAGCTAATTAAACAAGCTTATAGCAACAGCTGATTGCTAAAAAAGCATAATCAGCAAAGATTAGAAACTACCAAAACACAGAACTTAAAATAAATATATGTAGATGTGTATTTGCGTAACATTTTTAAAACCACTCAAATCTGTAGTATCATACATACAGCATGCATATATAAAGGGAAGAGGTCAGCATACTTTTCCTTGATGATAATGATGAAGTCGAGCTCTCAGCATTCTCAATATAGTTTCTGATGCAAGCTGGAGTGGCATATCTGGTGATAATCTCTGCGGAGGAGACAAAAAATCAAAGCTGAATAAATACTCCTGAAGTAAAAATAAGATATGCATTCCTATCCTTCATCTAAACATCTACAAAATTGTGTCCACCCCAACACATTCACTATACAGGCTCCCAATGGCCAAACAGTCCCCCCTCCTAATCCCAAAGATAAAAAAATGACTATCATAACATATTAATAATTGGACATCTTCTTAGAAAAGCTTAGTTTAAGTGCAAGGAATCTATATTAGGGGAAGGGTGTGTTAGTCATAGCTTATTAGTAGTAGCTTGGGAAATAAGTTAAGAGTTTGTTATGAGAGTTTTTCGATAAATAGGCCTCATTAGGAGGGATAATGATCATGTTGAATATTGTGAGGATTCTTATTGGGAGAGCGTGAGCCTCTCGAAAGCTCATATTAGGAGAGAATCCACCTCTCGAAAGTGGAATTATCGTTCTATTAGTTGTAATTCTCATCTTAATCCTATAATCAGTCTTTTTCTTCTTAATTTTCTGACATTATTACTGCTGGAAACCATGCTAATGCCTAGCATTAAGCTTCTTAAAGAAGCTATGTTTTTTACTTTAGGTGTTATATTATTTTCTTCTACGTAATTTTTATTCTCAGTATTTTCTACTCCCTCCGTCCCCAAAACCTCAACCCTTTTGGGTTGATTTTGTTGTTATTAAGAAAGTTAAATAAAAAGAAATAAAAACATATTGGAAAGATAAATTTACATGGGCTTTGTAAAAAAGTAGAGATATAAAGTATTAAAAATACATGAAAAAACAAAATTTTATATGGGGAATCTAAATTTGTACAAATATTGTTGTAAATTGGTGGGTATTTTAATGCAAATGGGTCGATCATTTTGGGACTAAAATTAGGCCAAAAGGGTCGAAGTTTTGGGGACAGAAGGAGTATATTTTATGTCTATCAGTCTTTCCCTGATATAGTGAGACTTTTAGATTCTAGCAGTCTTCCCTACAATAGGGGGATAGCTAGTATCCGTGTACCTTTCCATTTTTAAAATAAAAAAAAATACTAATTGACTTCCCTATAAGGATGTTCATATTTTCGGTGTTTAGTTTTGCTTTGGAACAGGGGTCTTGATCAAATACCTCTAGGACTTGCAGAGGATCAAGTGATTCTCCATGATTATGAAGAAGACGAACTGCAGCGTTAAACATTGGCTCCTTGCCGTTCTGTGGATCTAAATACATATCAAGCAACCTGATATTCATGATATTTAAAAATCAATTAGAAGAAAATTACAAAACACAATAGACACAATCTATAAGATAATTAGCTATAGACATAGGAGACAGTGTATGGAAAACTAACTGCATGTAGGCATCTGGTCTGCCAAGTTCTACACAATATTGTTCAGCAGCCTCACTATCTTCTAGCTTCCTGATAGATTAACAACAAATTATCAGTGATCAGAAATATTTGCCAAAAAACACTTCAAGGAACTTTGTGAGCATGCATATGAAACTAAAACTTAGCAACATAAGTTATGTCCCAGATAATGTCATCCAACAAAATAGGACACTACTTTGTATGCTTCCTTTTATTTTATTCTATAATAAGTGGTCTATTGGACCACTTTTCTACCTTAATATCCCCTAAATTTGGTCCCTTTCTCTTATATTTATACCCCATTCAAGGCATTTTTAGTATTTCTTCTTCAGTTTCCTTATCATGCTCTTAGCATGCTCTATTTTACATGATTTTCAGAAATTCATACTGATTTTTAGAAATTCATACCCTTTTTATTCTTCCATTTCCTTTATATACCCTTTTAGCTTATATTGTTGCACAAGAACTTATTGTAGGTTGCTTTTGGAACTTTTTACTGCAAGGTATCATGATGATGGGAACCCCCCGAAGGCCCTTAGCAAGGAAGACCAAAGCAAGGAGTAAAACAGGCGAAGAACGAACGCGCTAAGGAGTGGAGCACCTGCTCCATATTGGTGAAGACCCCTTTGAGAAGAAGGCCTGGAGCAACGCTCTGGCCTATGGAGAGCCTGCTCCGGGTTTTGAAGGAATTTGTGCTTCAGAAGAGGAGCGGCTGCTCCTGACCAGCAGAGTGCATGTCGTATTGATCTAGACTTTAATCTTTGTTTCTAGCTTTATATTTGGGGAATTTTAGGGGGTATACATGAAAATCTCATGTAATTAGAGGATATCTATATTAATATTTTTAGGGTTGATGCTAGACTAAGTAGAGAGAAAAGTGGATCACCATTGTTATACAATCAAGCTTTCAATACAAGTTGATGCGGATTGAGCATCAAGAATTCAAGAGTCTAGATTTATTTCTTTAGCATTTATTTTTCCATATTACTATGATTTACTTAGGATAAAGATTAGGAATATTTATCTTTTTATAAAATATTATTAGTGTTAGCATTTAATTTTATCTTTTAAGTTTATTTATCTTATTAGGCATGAGATTGTATGCCTATAAATATTTGTTTTTATTAATGAAAACTTAGAGATGTTTTGAGTTTAAGAAAATTAATTGTGAGATAGACTCGTGTGAGTTTTCTTCTTATTTTAGTCGAAAAGATCAAAATATTTTGAATTAGGTTTAACCCTAATTGCTAATATCCCTTTCCGTGGTTTAATCCACATCACAAGTTCTCCAATTTTCAGTAATTTCTTGCACTTTTCCTCGATTTACTTGCTTTCCTTGGTAATTTTGTGTGATTACTTAATGATTTATTGCTTTAGTAATTAGTGATAATCTTCATTAATGCTTAATCTTATTATTAATTGATGTCTAGCATAGTTGATTTTGAGATTGAAATTTTAATGTTTTTAAGTTGGTTAAGCTTTCTTTAAATACTTTATTAACATAGATTTAATTGACTACAATGCATTCTTTGAATACTTTATTATAGATTACTAATTGAATTTTGTACCCAACAGCATTTCTATTTGGATTTTAATGCAGCTAGTTTTCCTATTCTTCTCTCCAAGAAGTCTACTCAAAATCCTTTCAAATGCTTTACATTGGAATAATTCTTGTTATCTTGCACAAAGCTAAGTTTAATTCTTCCACTACAATACTACATTCGAGAAGCAAATATCACCATTTTAAACACTACAAAATAAACACAAGCACGTGAATGAAGGCAGGTGCAGACTTATGTACGCATGCAAGAATGATTGTGTGTGTGTGTGTATATATATATATATATATATATATATATATATGAAAGGCTTTTAAATTCATTGACCACCCATGCCAGCCACTTATCCAGCAGAAAGAAATCACCACAACTTATGCTATGCATGCTCCACCATAACCAATACTACAACAATTCTTGGTTTCTCAGATGCATTTCAAGCCATAAGCAGTTATTGTTTTGAAAATTCCTTATATTATTCTCCATCACTTTAAACACACCCCTCCAATAATATAGTAGAAAATACTTAACCACCAAATGCAAAACAGACATCTAAGATATACCCAGGCCTTGATAATATACAATCAATACATTATTAGTAGACTTTGAGGGAAAAGATAACTGTTTTAAATATACTCACAGTGCCAATATTTGAAGAACCAATGTTTCCTGTCCTAACTTCCTGTATAAAATAGCCTGTCACAGAGGAATAGATACTTGATCATCATACTGAAAGTAGAAAACTGGGCACATTTTCTACAACTTAAAAAAGCTAATCTTCAGTGAATATCAGCTTTATTAAGTGAAATTAAAATTGAGTCTCATCAGTCAACTTCAGTTTTAATCTTTAACTGTATGAGGGAAAACTACTAAAAAATAATTATCTTTTTTTTTAGGAAATCTAAAAAATAATTATCTTAATCACAAAAAAATTAAACAAAAAAACCTAGTCCAGCAAATAAGATATATGAGAACAAAGCCTATCATTGATTCATAAGAAAAGGCATAAATACTTATCAGCTGAACCATTATAGATATCAGAGCATTATTAGTGTGAGAAGTGACCCCCCCCCCCAAAAAAAAAAAAAAAAAAAAACACCAAACAAACACACAAACTCCCACCATCCAAAAACTATCCCAAATCGGAAATATTCCCACCAAACTAAACAAAAAAATATATATATCAATCATAATGAGTACATTAACTTATTAACCAGAGAATTTTTCCACATAAATCCAATACTAAAAACATTATGTGTCACCTTCTCTAGCCATAAGTCTGAGCCTTCAATTAACTCAAGAACTTCTTCTGCATTATACAGATCGGAAGAATGAAGAAAGATTTGTAGTCTTTCCCTAACAGGATTTTCAGATGACAAATTTCTTCCAGGTATACATGTATTTGGTTGCCTCATGCTTTTGTTAGTAGCATTCTGAGTAGCATCTGTTTCCAGACTTTCAAGAGCAGTTTTGGCAAGGGAAAGAGCATATAATGTATGAAAATGAGTATCACTAAAGTCTTGATCTTCAATCAACCACTGCAGATATCTGCGCCATAAGAGGCCTGGAAGTTCAAATTATGGTAATAACATCCCAAGGTAAAAGAATAACTAATATAAAGCACACCTTACGTTTTAAAATTTTAATTGAAAAATGAATAAATGATACTTCCTCCGTTCTGTTAATATTGCAACAAGGAGGAAATTACGCATCCCAAAACACATTTTATATGCTAAATATCTATAATTGTGTAAGAGTAAAAATTATAAAAAGTTGATATTGTGAAAGTATTTTATGAGACGAATCCAACAAGATCTCACTTGACTATATTTTGCTTAACGTATAACTCATATTATATGGTCAAACAAGAGTGATGAATAGTGCAAAAAGTCCATTGTTGCAATATTAATAGAACGGAGGAAGTAATTTATATAAGAAATATAATTTTTTTTTGAAAAAAGGACCTGTAAGCCTTTGAAGAAAGAGTGGGTGTAGCAGACTTTTTGTGTGAAACAGCAACATATTTATGAATTTTAGAGGAGACAGATAAAATGGAGCCATTTGACAAGGAGAGAGAGAGAACCATCAGTCAAATTAAACAATTTTGCAATTATTTTGCACTTCCCAAAAAGAAGTGCATAGCATGAAGGAAAGGACACCAAAATTTCTCTACAAAAATTTTCTATCCAAGACTAGATATGAAGTCTTCAAGCCTATTTATCTAACCTGAATGTATCACACATAAACCAAAATAAATTATTTTAGGATTACCCCATGTACATAGCTAACTTATATGGAACTTACATATTCATACACACAAAAGTTAGATTTACTTTGATCAAAATAAAGGTAATAGTCTATCTTAAACAAAACTCTATATTCCATTTATCTAAAGTGTTTCTTTGAACATTAAACCCTCTTTTTCTTACATTTTTATGCACCAACATGTACTAGTGCTACAAAACAGGAATAATTACTATTATGTCCAAGATAACTGGACAAAAAAATGCATCACTTTTTTTTTTTTTCTGAGCAATAACAAACATGCATCACTAATTACAATAGCTTCATACCTTTGAAGGATCTCTATTTTTCTTGGATCAATAGCAGCAATTACATCATCTGCATTAATAAACACATGTAGAAATAATGAGTAACCAAAAATTTCCTTCCAAGGACAGTAATCTATTTTACAGCAAATGCATGAAACCACACTCCATAGTGAACACTCAACAAAGTTATGAGAAATTATCACAAATATACCAATTTCATTTCCCACAATCTTCAAGACATACTTTTGATCATCAATATCATTAATTGTATATTAACAAAAAATTATAAAAAGTTGATATTATAATACTCCTTCCGTCCCTAAATTAAAAGCCTCTTTCTCTTTATATTGTGAGTAATAAATGCTAGAAAGAGGCTTTGTATTAAGGGACGAAGGGAGTACAACATATTGACATGAATCTTATGATATCTTACATGACTACATCTTTTGTATATATTAGTGAGAATTTTTTGTCAAAGTTTATAAATTATGACGCCTAAGCACTATATTATGGGACGGAGGAAATAGTATACACTTGGATAAAACTCCCAAAATATCAAATGATAATATATGTATTTAATTTGTATAACTTCTCTATCACACTTCTAAGGTTTTTTTTTTTTTTTTTTTTTAATGCAGCGCTTGAATTTATTAAGCTATAATTAATTTTATATCTCTTTTATTTTCAAAAATAATTTAGAAGAAAAAGAAGTTGCATGTAAAAGTCTTGTAAGCATGGAAGGTTACATGAATTAATGGAATATTAGCCACCCACACGAAAAGTGGGGGTAATAGGTCATCCTATCCTATAGAGAGAATATCGAGTAAAAACAAATATATATATATATATATATATATATATATATAATAAGGAAATGATGCAGATATTTTTCATTTTAGGGAAATGGTGCAACTACGAGTATATGAAATGCATTTAGTGAATTTGGTAATCCTATATTACTATGGGTAGTTTCCACATTAATATGTATATTATTATGAAATAATCAAGTCTACTTAGTGATTGTGTGTCCAACCACATTGGAATATTACCGAAATAATGAGATTATAGTCAAAATTTAAGTCAAATATTCCGTACTAGATGTTCTTCTAGGGTGCTTGAGGTGTCTAGGTTATTGCAAAAAGTATTGACATGCTTTTGACTTTTTGAGAGACTTCGACAACAAGCAATTGTCAAGTACTTCCCTATTCCTGTTTAGTTGAAATGTTTTCCATATAAAAGGTATCCTATTTAGTTGACACAACCTTTCTCTCCATAAATGGCAAGGACCCACTCATTTTTTAAATATTTCTCTCACCTTACTTTTTACCCACTATTACCCCACTATCAACTATCACACAATAAAATAAGACGAAAAATTTATGCCGACCAAGGTGTGTCAACTTAATAGACAAAGACAAAGGGAATAATAAAATGTAAAGGAGATATACCAAAATATACACACATTCATTCCAAAGTTTAAAGGACAATATGCAGATGCATGAAGTGAATATAAAATGCAAAAAACAAGGAAGCAAAATTACAACTTACCCATGAAATCTAAAATCGGTATCTTTACCCTAAAAGAACTCAAATCAATGATCTTCTCCATGTATACAAATCATGACTTCATGCAAGAGTGGGCAAAAAATGCAACTTAAAGTCGTAAACTACATGACCAAAACAAATACAAGTTGCCTATATGAAGCAGAAATCCTACCAGGTGGAAGTTGGCTGGTACGTTTTTGAGATGTTAAAACGCGAACGGCAAGTTCCTCATTAACTTCTGCAATCTAGACATGGATAAAATACACTGTTGGACACCAAATATATAATCATCAATTGAACTTTACACGGATAAATACCCATCCAAGATGCTGCAGAATCGACTCAACGTCAGCGGACTCCTCAAGTATTTTAGACGCTTCAATGGCTGCAGTTTCCTTGCTGAAAGCTGGTATTGAATTTGAATCACTCGCGTTGTATGAATCAGCAACATCTTGGTGAACGCCAAGCGGATAATTTCTAGCTAAAACACGCCAAATAGCTAATGCATTAGTGCTCATTCCTTTATTCGCATATAGAAAAGCTAGGGTCCTCAAATGCCCAGATTCTTCTAGTAAAGATTCCAATTCCTCCTGCACTGAACATGCAACGTTTATAGTCATACATCAAACAGGCTTTTAAAGAAAGCCTTCAAGATTCTGAGTTTCTGACAAACACAAAGACTGCATAATGTAAACTTTCTTGGAGCCCAAATATTAATCAAGCCAACAAAAAAAAAAGACCAACAAAAATCCTCTCATAAAAATTCAGACCTGCTGACAAGTGTATTACAATGCCATGGCCGCACAGGTAGGGAAGGGGCAGAAGCCTCTCAATTTAATTTTTTTTTTTTTTTAAAAGTAAAATTAAAAAAATACTACTCCATAGCAAGAATTGGATGCGGTTTATCTAAGTCAAGGTTCCTTCTAATTCCAGTGACAATAGGCAAAGCAGAACGTTGAATACAGAAATGATCAGGTGCAGAGAAGAATTCAATTTATTTAAGCCACCTCTATATAGGTTCCTACATTTAGCATGTGCTATCTAATTCTTCAAGTAATAACCAGGTTCAAAAACCAACTCTTACCAATTTTATTCACATTAGGTTATTGCTTTTGTTCCCAAAAATATGATGTTTTGGAAAACAGCAATGCTTGTCAGAATAAAACAATAACTCTTCTATCTTCTCCAACTTATAATTTCTGCTGTAAACTAAAACTGCAGCGAAACTGCACATTAAAAGACAGATTAACAAAGAAGGGTTGAGAAACTAGGACTATAGGAGATACTATAGGTCAAGGATTGAAAATTTAGGGGAAAGAAAGGGAGAAAATGCTTAGGAAAGAGAAGCTGTAGATAGCTTCTGCTAGGAACTGGTATTTAAACAGAGAATTCCAAACAACAAAGTTGAGTAATCAAATAGGCCCAAAGCCCGCAATAGTGTTTGTATTGATGACCAGAGAAATCAACAATATAACTCCTTTCAAGAGGAAGGATTCTCTCCCTAGTGTTTACTTCTCAATTTTCTGGATACCTCTTCCAACGTTACATGGGACGGGATTCGATTCGAAACGTGGTACGAAAACGAATACGCGGAACGCTACCCGTGGTGAATCCGGTACAATTGGGTACGAAATAATTAAATTAATAAAAAAATTATATAGGTGATTTTTATTGAAAGATTTTTATATCTAGGTGAGTGGATTGCTAAAGAAAGTAAATAAAATAAAAAGCCCAAGTTGTTTTTTTAAAAAAAGACCAAGTTGTTGAGAGACATATATAGGTTTAAGGCCTTTAAGCTTTTTACCAAGTAAAACAAAACCCTAGCCGCCACCCTTAGTGTGCACAAATAAAATTAAAAAAAAAAAATATGTTACTGCTAGGTAAATCAGGAGAGAGGAGGGAGAAAAAAGTCAAAAACTTCATAAATTAAAAAAGAAAATACACGTGAAAGAAGAAAGAGAGAGAAAACTACATTAAAAATGTCGGGAAAAAAACCATTAAAGGTTGCAGAGGAAGAACAACCGTGTTTGCTCAGCCACAACTAGGAGTCGCCACCTTCAGCGTTATGGTTCGCTACCACCAGCGACCCAGGTCGCGTTTGTTCCGTGTTCCGGTTCGCACGAATCAGATCGCGATTCATGGCTCCATACCGCGAACCTTGTAACGTTGACCTCTTCCCTCCTACATTCCTTCTATTTATTATAAGCATCTTGCATAACAAACTAACAAAGTCTATCCAGCTAATAGCGAATAACAACTTAAGCACAAATTACTTTATTGCCCAAAAACACTAACAAACTAATAACTGATTTTCCACTTCAGCACTCAGGTAGCTGTTGCACCCATTTTGGCCTTCCTTTGAGCACATGTGATCACAGGCTTGGGCTGATTGGGCTGGTTCCTTGCAGCTTCCTATCAATATGGTTGGTTAAGATAACACTGATAGGAGAGGGTATGTACTCAGTTTAACTATAATTGATTCTAGGGCAATATCGTATCTACACATAAAGGAGCATTAACTTACACTTGTCATGTATTCTTCCTTTATATACATTACAAAAGAAATTACATTGTAGACAAGAAAATCAATTAAGTACAGATCAATAAAATCCTCTCCAGTGGATGAGACACATAAATTAAAGAGCTCAAAGCAATAAAGCTTTCAGTTCTCAGGAATTCTATATAATAGTACTATATTTAATATTATTTTTTATGTATCAATCTGGGTAACTGGTATACTAATTTTATAATAATTAGAATTCAACTTTCTAATCAAACACTGGAAGCCAATACCTTGCATTATTCATAATGTAAGATTTAAAGCAAGAGGTCACCAATTTTTCTACAATACTTTTTGACCAGTTCTTTACAAATAGTTATGAGAATAAGGTCTTGGAAGAAGACTCTTTGACGTCAAATTCTAGTACAAAATTATATGAAATGGTGCTCGATAAATTTCAGCATAATACATTCCTTACTCCTCATGAAGTAAGGCTCTTATCACAAAGAAAATCACCTGATAGATTTATGATGAGCAAGAATAAGAATAAAGCTAATTGGCATGACCTTTTTCACAGCAATTATATTACAAAATATTTATAAAATAAGCAGCACAGAATATTAGAAGCCAAGCTTTAACATAAGCTCATGGCCAATACTACATTGCAAGGTGATGCAAGAAAATATTCTAAAGCTCTATGGAAATATAGATGAGTTGGGTATAGCTGATAATTAAATAGGTTCGCTAACAAAAGGCTTCAGAGGTTCCACAAAGGCTGTTAATTTGCATTTACAGCTCAACGATGTTTGGTCATCACCAAAATTCAACAGCAGCATTGCACATGAATTGACCTCTACATGGAAAATATACAAAAAAAAAGGTCATATGTACAGTGTTTTAGTGGCCAATTGTCCCAGTCATCAATATATTCTAATAAGAACCACCAATGTAAAAGAAATACCTACATAAAAACAGAAGAGAACTCCAATACAGTCATTAAGGGAAAAAAGAAGAGGTTCAGGGAAAAAGAATGCGTACTACAACACAGCTATTTTCAGAAGATGCAAGTTTCTCCATATCTTCAGCGCAATTAAGTATTCTGTATAGGTACATTAGAAGTGTGTCAACTCCTTCCTTCACTGGCTGATTAAGATCTTTATGTCGCATTACCAGGAGATACCTAAGAGAGACATTAAACATACATAAATACAAAGAGTGTGATACAGAGAAATAATATGTGAAAAATGAACTTATTTTAGCTAGGATAAACATGTATAATTTATTCCCTCAACTTCATGGTATATCTTGTTTTTATGAGGGAATGAGTTACATAAAAATACTGGTTATTAAATATTGCTGGAGAAAGAAAATGTTTATGAACAAGGTTGAAAATAAGAAAACGTGAAGTGAAGAGACCATTGTTTCATATTCTCTCACAGGATTCAATATTTGGACTTCTAAACACAGTTTATTTAATTGCTTTAGAGCAGCTAATAGAGTATAACCCATCTATGATGCAAGAACACGAATACAAGTACAGATCAGAGTACCTAGACACATTATAAAAGGATCTGGAAATTGGACTTGAACAGGGGGACACTGACAATCTTTTGGGAATAAGAAATAATGTAAATGAAGTTCATAAATTAGAATGAGTTGATGCTCTAAGAGCTGACATTACAACTATACATGCATCATAGAACTTACCAGACATTCATTGTTTCCATTGTAAGACTAGCTATGTATTTAAAGGGTTACAGCCACACATCACATCACAAAACATACTTCCTCCGTCTTTTTTTTAGATGCATCACTTTCCTTTTTAATTACTACCTCCGTTACATATTAATTGCAATTTTTTGCCAAAACGGGTTGCTACACATTAGTTGCAACTTTCCATTTTTTCCTTTTTTAGTAAGTTTTTTTCAATAAAAGTACAAAAATACCCTTACTAGAGATTTTGTATACACAATTAGTTGCTCAAATCGGATTTCATTAAATTCCTAATCTAACTTATTTAACATAATAATACCACCCAATTAAAGCAACAATCATAAAAAATCATTCAACTTCCATCTTCATCTCCCACGAAATAATCAGACCACCACCTTTACCGTCACCGTCACTGCATCTACCCATCACCATCTTCAACACGTCAATGCTCATCACCAGTGTCAAAGTCGTCGTCGCCTCCTCCTCCTCCGTTGTTCCTCTCTCTCCCCCTCTCAATCGTTTAAATCTGATGGATTTCGAGGTGGATAGGCTAGTTTGGGGTGGCTCAAGGCAGCTGGGTGGATTAGGTTGAGAGAGGGTGGTTTCGTGGTTGTTCAAGTGGCAGAGGGAGTAGTTTTAGAGTTGTCAAGTGTGCGTGGGTGGTTTCAGGGTGGTTCGAGTAGAAATCGGGTGATTTCAAGGCAGTTTAGGTAGAAATGGGGTGGTTTCAGGGTGTGAGGTGGGTGGTTTCAAGGTGACTGCAATTGGGCTACGGTGGTGGACGGGTGGGCTCGGTGCTGTTGGTGGTGGTGGTTACTAATTGATTAATTACCTTCACTTTCTCTCTCTTACCCTTAATTTACTATTCTTTAATTCATTAATCAGCCATTATGAAATTTTGTCTTAAAATCCATGTGGAGCACAAAGTTGCAACTAATTCGAAACGGAGGAAGTAATAAACTGTCTCTATCTCTCTCCTAATACATGGGTCTACTTTTTTCTTTCTCTCTACCCTCTCATCTCCAAAATTGCCTAGGAGTCCGCAATTTTTATATTGATGCAACTAAAAAGAAAAGAAGTAAGAATAAATACAAACGAAAAAGAGAGGCTGTGGATGGGAAGTTGCTGTACAAAGGAGGAAAAAGACTTAAGAAGCAAGGCAGAATAACTCTCAACCTTCCTTCCTCCTATGCTTCATTATCTTTCTCGGCGGGTCCACTTTCTCACCTTACCCTATAATCGATGTCCTCACCCATCCAGGTTTGATTGTGTCAAACGGCACAGTTATTTAACAAATCCAAGCATCAAAGCCAATTAAACCATACAGGAGCTGAACTACAAATTCTCTGTTCCACATTGCACCACATTTAATTTTTCAAAGCATCCCAAATTGGTCTGTTCTGATGTCAAAATAGCCAGTGCCACTTCCTGATTACATCACCCTTCCCATCTTTAATCTCTCAGTCTATCTTCTAACCCTCTCAATTCTTCCCCAGAAAAATCCAACCATGACTCCAATGACTCAATGAGTCACAACTACCCAGCCCAACCCTGCTACACCTCCAGTCCACCATCATCTATTCTACCCTGTCAACACCAGTTACAAAATCATTAATTCCCTTAGCCATCAGCACCGCAATTATTTGAAATCCCCATCCAACCTAGCTGCGGCAACCTCAAATGGAAAACCTTAATGGACAATTCCAACAACTACAACTACAATTACAACTACAATAACAAAAACAACAAAGCTTTAGTCCCAAAATTAAGGGTCTTCATTACCGTCTTCGAAGTGCTTTGTTTGTGGTGAAGGATGAAGTAGTGGGTGAGGGTTGGCGCTGGTGGTGTACGATGAGTGTTTGTGATGTAATTGAGTTTGGTTACAAAATCTGTTTGTGAAAATATTAGGTGAGGGTCTAAGCAAATGGTATTGATGGCAGTGAGGGTCCATGCAAATGGTATCAGTAGCACTGTGGCAGTGAGGGTCCAAGCAGTTGGCATTGAGCATCTAAATCTATAGGCAGGTGGAAAGATGATGATGCGGCTAAGTCAACAGATGGAATGGTGATGGTGGTGGATTCCATATTCAGGAACAGGGTGTTCGTCATTGGGTAGTCAAACTCATTTGAGGGTGGGTGGTGATGGTTTGGTGATTCCAGAATGTGAGGATCAGGTATAAAAGTATTTTACCTTTTAATAAATGTTCCAAATTGCAATGGTACAACTATTGGGGAGCAGAGGAGTATGTAACATATATGCAAGTACACCAATCCCTATCTGAAATTCTGAATGCAAGTTTATGTTGGGTGCACACATGCATGTTGGTCTTAAGGCAACAAATAGCAAGGAAATAAACATCACCAATACAGGGCAATTAGAGTATGAAATTCTTTGTTCCCAATCATGATCACTTTTACTCCCCACGCTCCCTCCCCTTTTAGTACATTTGCACTCCTCGCATTGCTAGCCATTGTTTATCCCTTTCCTACCCTCTAATATCTTTTCATTTGTCACCCTTCTACCCTCCAACTAGACCTTGTGGCAGTATAGAGCTAATCTCTCTTGCTAACAGACCAAGAACTAAACCAATGAATGGAGCTTAATTTTTTCATTGGCCTATAGATTATTTAAAAAGATCAACATAGTTGTAGAAAAGGAGGGGCTAACCAAGAGGATTCAATGATAAACTCTTAATTCATAGTTCTAGAAAAGGAGGGGATAACCAAGCACTTTCTATATTGATCCATATCATAATTCATACTCCAATTTCTAAGAAGAATAATAAGATTAATTCTTTACGGAACTCCGTTTCTCAAGAGTTGCAATTTAATATGTTTATAACCTTGCCAATTTACCTAGAGTCTACATTCTTCCTTTCTTCGGGTTTTTTCGACTGCCATTCTTAATGCTGCCATCATAAAGCAAAAAAAAAAAAAGGGAAGGGCGGCGGGGGGGGGGGGGGGGGGACCTAATGCTAAGCCTTCTACTAGTTCTTCGTTCTTTGGGAGAGTCCAAATGAGCTAATGAATCATTTGAATAAGCAGTTACCTTAAAAGAAGCTTAACACTAGTGAAAGACTGCAAGTTCAAAGGCTAAATTAGGTGCTTTTGCCTCTATTGTCTATAGTGTATAGCTAGTGAAGAAGACATATTTTCTTGTGTGTGCTCCTTAAGGTGGTGACATATATAGGGAAAAGCTACATGAAATTGTCCAAATAAGGTGGATGGTAACAACTAACAAATACTGTACATAATTTGCATGTCCGTACTTTTTCCACAGTTTTGTGTTACTTGATAAGATCTTACAGGGTAACGTCTTTAGTGAACTCACAAACACACAGCTGATATCACCAAGATGCTGCTAGCAATTTACATATAAATTGTACAAAAAGCATCTCACCTAATTAAATTCCTAAATGCTGAATCCAAAAGATCAGCCCTAGTTGGTGGATTCAAAAGAAACTCATTGTCGACAGCACTTTCTACTCCAGCTTTCTTCAAAAAAGATGCTCTTTGGATAGCCAACAGGCCATCTTCTACAACATCCTCAACATGTACGGGGGGTGGATGCAGACCCCAATACCTATTCCTGGGAACCTGCAGAAAACCAAATGGTTAATGCACCCTAAAGACATACATACTATAAGACAGAATATGTATAAATTGACTTAAATATTGAAAGAATAACATGGACTTGGCTTGTTATCAAGGTTCTTGTGATGTTAGGCATGAACTTAGTGCCTAGCCAAATGGTGCCCATCAGTGCTAATGTAATCCCCCCATATTTTTAAATATGTTATAAATGAAATTTAATTTTATTTATAATATTGATTTGTATTTTTCCGTAATTTAATTTCAAAATATTCAAATTATTAATTTGGCTCAAAAATTATTTTGGTACAAATTATTTTATGAACCTTCATTCTATAATTTATTTGGATACAACTAAAGCTTAGTCCATTTCATTCATTTGGCCCATTAATTTTATAAAGCCCAATCTTTCTATTTACCCTACAACATTCTCCCCTATAAATACCCCATTAAACCCCAAAATTTTCCCACATAAAAAGGTTAGTCTTATTTTCTCCTTTGTTTTATTAATTTTTATAATTATAATTATTGATTTATGGGTTTTGATTTTATTGTTTGAAATTAATTTAATTAGTATCAAATTGTATTTTGATGATTAAACTTTTTAATTTCAAATTTTAAAAATGTCATTATTTTCAGATTTTGTAAATTTTATAATCTAGAGTTTTTAATTATTGAAAATCATGATTTTAGGGTTTTTATGAACAATTGATTTAGGGCATTTATAGTAATGATGTTTTGATATTTTGGTGATTATAACTACCGATTAGTTTAACTTAATTCTAGATTATTTTGAACACGTAAATTCGAGTTTTAATTTTTAGATTTCCGTTCGTTAATATTAATCCCGTTTTAATCCCGATCAGGTTCTAAACTCATCCGATTTTGATAAAAAAAAAAAAAAAAAAAAAAAAAAAAAAAAAAAAAGTAGTGTTTTCCATGTGGAAACAACGTTTTACGAAAGATTCACTACCTTCGGTGATGAGAACCACCCTCTCGTGGCCAAATTCAGCCTCTAAATATGATTTTCGGACAGTTTTTTATTTTTAACGAAGTTTGATTAATAAAATTAATTATGTTTAAAGTTAATTAAGCATAAATATATGTTTTTATTGAAGTTTTAAGAGGTTTTTCATCATGATATATTGTTGGAAATTACTTGGGATGGTAATATTAATTGTTGGTTGTTTTTTAGGAAGTGATTATTTCCTAGGAGACTTTTGATTGAGTATTAAAGTGATGTGTTGATAAAGTTTTGAAGGGTTTTTATTTAATCTAAAGTGCTGGAAATAGTTTCTAAGTACTACTTTTGATGTTTTATAAGAGGGTTTAATCACCCATTAAAAAGGGAGACTATTAGGGGTTTTTAAATAATTTTCAGATTTTTATTTAACTTTAAACTTATTGTAATTTCATGTATAAGAGTGTATTTTAAGGTTTTTTTATGAAGAAAATTTAAAGAACTATATATAAGCCTTTAATTTTAACTAAAGGGAAGGTTTTAAAGTGTTGTTCGATTTGGATTTTGAAGGTTTTAAAGTAAGTTAGTATTGCTGTAAATTTGATTGATTGGGTATTGATTGAGATGTTATTGTTTGGTTTAGGAGAGGTGTTTATTGAAGGTGATTTCTAGATAGTAAAGTGGCGTACCAATTCGTTTATTCAAGATACGTACGAGTTACGAAACCTTGCTTTTAGGTGCATGTTTAAGGACGGATCGAGAACTTAGTATCATGTATAGGGATGACTGGATTAAATTGTTTGGTTATACATTGTGGATTTTTGTATGACGTGCACTATTCTATATTGCAAGTATTGTTTATGCTCTAAATATGCAAGGTGCGCTTAGAGGCAAAGGTATGTGGTTGGTGAAATAATTAATTTATTACTCATCATAGTTTTAAAAAGCGCGAGGCGCACCGAGGGTCCCTGGAGCCTAGGCGCAAAGCGCAAAGCGAAAGCGCACGCCTCTTGAATATGAGGTGCAAATTTTTTAATGTGAATTTATTTTTATTTAACTTCTTTTTTGACATTAAAAATTTATTTAAAAATCAAATTAAATTGATAATTTTTTCATTTTATTTTACGTAGTGCTGTTTTGAAGAAATTTTACAGTTTTTTTGTTATTATTTTTCTTAAAATACTTAAATTTAGGCATAATAAATAATTTAAACTATTTTTTTTTTGGGTAAAGAAAAGGGAAGGTGGTCAGGTCACGTGCTTAACACTAAAAAAAAAAAAAAGGAGCAGGCTTTTTGGTAATAATAATAATAATATAATAAAATAAAAAGTAATAAAGAAAAAAAAAACTTTACTTTATTGTAGGTGGGTAGAGACTAGAGAGTCAGAGACTGCAGAGGAGAGAGAATAAGAAGCAGCAGAAAAAGAAAGAATGGAGAAGAGTGTGGATCGAAGAAAGAGAATAGATGGAAAAAAAAATATATATATACCTGGGTTGCTTCACCGGTGCAGGCCGCCGGTATATCTGCAGCCGGAAACCACCGGGGATTGATCGGCGGTCTGCCGTAGCAAAACCCACCAATTTTTCAATTGCAAAGCAACCCGTAAATTAGGTTTTTAAAAAATTAGGGCTTTTAAATTGGGGGTCAAATTGAGGTGATTTCATTCAATAAACAAGGGGCTTTTGCTCTGGGTAAGCTTTAATTTGGAAAAAAATGTGTTTTTATTACAAAAATTAATCCAATCCCCTTTCTCTCACGCCTCTAAACGTAAGGCGGCTCAGGCGTTGCGCCTTACGCCTTGGTGGAGGCGGTATGAGGTGCGCGCCTTCTGGAATCCGCGACGCCTAGGAAGGCCGAGGCGTTTTGGCCTGCGCCTCAACTGCGCGCTTTTTAAAACTAAGTTACTCATTCATGATTATGGAAACAGAATGAGTTTAGGAAGAATTTAAGTCTTATACGACGAGATTAAGTTTGTGGGGTGCCTTATGCACTCAAGGTGTTTATACACCGAGGTAGTTATTAGATTTAATAAATGTTGCTTGTCAATAATAAATCAAGAATTGAAATTTGAAAGTTTGTTTTACGTGATTGAACTAATAATGGATTGATTGTGTTGTTTGCAAATGAGTCATCACCAAGTCTAAACTTGTAAATCACGCAAAGTGCAAGATAGATGAGCAATAAAACTCTAAATTTGTGCACATCTGGAGTAATGACAACACAATCAGGGGTTGGGGTACACGGCGTATTAGCCGTTCACTTTTCATCGAGGTCGTCTGATCTACGAGTCTCTTATTTCAAATACTTTTCAAAACTAGGAGTTAGATGAGATCTCATACTAACTACGGTCACGGAGTCGCGCCCTTGGATGTTTTATTGATGTTTCCGAAAGGAGGCATGGGGTATTTCTTTCATTGATGTTCTAAATGGAGCATGCGTTGGACAACCTTGTCTATTGCTTAATCCAATGATTAAAATAATGATGAGTTAACTAAATTAGTGAAGTCTTAGTAAACTGACAATTGAGTCGTGTGTTGAGTCTATAATTTGATAATGTGTCATGACTGATTATTAGTAGCATGCTAGGGATTTCTTTTCATGTTTCGCAACTTGTATGTACTCAGTTTTGCTGATTGCGTGCTTTGTGTGTCTTTATTTGGTCATGGCCTTCGCCTTTCAATGACCCAGTAATAATCCAATCTTTACACTTGTAATATTGGGGAGCGGACTCATCACAAGTGTTTACATACTTTGGACTTGCATCAAGGTGGTGGGATTTTGAGTGGAGAGTTGGTTATTGTTCGCATATATTTCTTTTTATAAATTTGAAGTTATTTAAACTCTGATATTATTTATTTAATTTGATTTTATTTGTTGGTTTTGAAACTTATTTATAACTGATTTTTTAGTTTTTCCGCTGCTAATGTTTGATATAGCCATAACGTTTGAACACGTGGCGGTAGCACGCCATTAATTCTCTTGGATTTTGTTCAGGGTATTTAAAGGTTTTAAGAGAGAATTATTGGGGTGTTACAGCTAAATTCAGGGAAGAGGTAAGTAGTTTTACAAGAATCTCTTTTCCAAACCGCATAACCTAATACTTTTCGTCTTTGAGAGGTACAGAGATTTTAAAACGCCGGATAAGAAAATGATATATTTAAGCCCATGCAAAAAGAGAATTGCAATGTCTTTTAGAATAAAAAAAAAAAAAAAATTCAATTGTCACATAAGCAAAATAAACGAATTAGAATTAAGATTTTAAATTCAAGTATCACGTAACTACGTAAGTATAAAAAAAATTGATAGTTTAAATTAATTATAATGAAATATATTATATATTTATACTACCTCCGGTCCACATTAGTTGCAACTTTGGGGGTGATTGCGGAGGTCGAGGCAAAAGATCATAAGCATGATTATTGAAAAATAAGGGTATATGCTTAAGTTTTAATCCAACCTTTAAAAAATAAAAAAAAAATAAAAAATAAAAACAATTCAACTCAATTTATATTAATTACCCACCACCACCGGACTGTAGAGAAACCACCCACCGGCCACCACCACCACCACCGCCACCACCGCCTACCACCGAACCCAGCAAACCCAGCACCAACGACCCCCAAACCCACTACCACCAAACCCACGAACCCCCACGAACCCATCAACCACCAATTTATATTAATTACCCAGCAGCACCGATGAATCACACCAAACCCACAGATTTGAAACCCTAACCCACCGAATCCACCAGCCACGACCACCAAACTACCGACCCCGAGCAACCCAACGACCCCCGAACCACCAAAACACCAACCCCGAAACAACCAACACCGAAACCACCACAGCCGAACCTACCAACCCCCAAAACAACCAACACAGGAACCCACCGACGAGCCGCAATAAACACCCACCTACCACCAAACCCACGAACCCAAAGATCCACGAACCCACAAACCCACAAATCTAGAAAAATAATAGGAATGATTGGAGGAGAGAGAAAAAAAAATGGGGATGAGGAAGATGTAGAAATTTGATGAATAATGGTGATGAGGAGGAAGATGAAGGAGAATGAAGGTGGCTGCAATTGGTTTCGGTGGCTAATGGGTTGATTTTGGTGAAAATAGGTAACTTAATTAATGTTAGGGTTTAAGCTAATTAGATAAAATCAGTTTTGTAATTAGGGTGTTTTAAAAAAAAGTAAGGGTAAAATTGTAATTTTACCACTAAAAATTTACTACAAAAGGAAAGAAATGGGAAAGTTGCAATTAATGTGGACCAGCCCAAAATGGAAAAAGTTGCTACTAGTGTGGACCGAAGGTAGTATTAGGAATTATCTAAATATGAGACAAGATATTTACGATTTATTATTTTATAATAAAAAATCAAGTAAAAAACAAATGAATAAAATCATAAAAATTATCAAATAAATATACAAAATATTTGTTTTAAAAAATACAAACAAACCGTGCATCGCACAAGATTCATCTAGTTATAAATAAAATAATGAAAATAAAAAAATGTAGTATAGTGCCTCATATCTGTCACAAAACTCAATATGAGGTAGAAGGTAACATTTCTATTGCTAGGTAAATTTGTTGATGTCACTTATTTTATAACAGCCAATAAATTATCTACTAACCACTTTGTCTTTTTTCTCTTGTGTATTGTAGATTGCCTTAGTAGCTTAAGGTATGTGAGTGAGTAAAATACTTACCTAGGTAATACTGTAACACTCCAATACCACACAAAAGAAAATGATGCTAAGTGATCAAGTATTTCAGGGACTAGAACTAGATTTCATTTATATATTTTTATTTCTCTTTCCATTTCTACAGTGTGCACATTCAAAATAGTGTATACTTCTCTCATTTTCCCCCGCCCCTCAACATCTCCGTTTATCACTATCGTCCACACACATAATCAACTTTAAAAATCATAACAAAATGTAAGCACAAAGCTTTAGCTTAATTTCCACAATCAATAGCAGTTAAATTATCGACTGACAAATAAAACCCTTCACAAATCTGCAAGGAATCAATATTTGGGGGAAGGGTACATTAGTCATAGCCTATTAGTAGTAGCTTGGGGAGTAAATTAGAGTTTAATATGAGAGTTATTCTATAAATAGGCCTCATTAGGAGGAATAATCATCATGTTGAATATTGTTGAGAAGTTTGTTATTGACTTGTTGGAGAGCACCTTCCTCTCAAAAGAAGGCATTGTATTGTTGAACAATCAGTTTGATAATACAACTTATCCCTCTTAGCTATCCTTTTCTATCTAATTAGCTTGCTTACTTACTGTTTGGGAGCTAATTCCTAGCAAAAACCTTCCTCCTCCACACCCAAACCCCCCCCCCCCCCCGCGGTCTTTCCGCCCAAACCACAAATATATATACCTACAAAACAAAGAAATAAAGCAAAAACAAAGAGGCAAGCTTTACAATTTAAGAAACAATGAATTGGTGAGAAGGAGAGACGTGAAAGGATATTTGGACTTGCATTAAATAAAAGATGTGAAAGAAATGAATTTCACAGGGATCAATAAGAGAACAACACTTGAAGCTGTTTTTTCCCCTTGAGGAAACAAAAAAACAAAAAGGTGACTTCAAAGATACAATAGACTTGATTGGTAAAAAGAGTTTTAACCAAAAATGAGGAGACCAATTTGAAGGGTTCACTTCATAAATCCGCAATTTTTATCGTATGATAAAGCGCTTATTGAATGAGCTTGTTGACTTCTTAAAATTGACAAATGAAGTTAGGTTAGCTGTAACCACATAGCAATGATCTCCAAAAGTTACTATAATTTACATCCCTACCAGCCTTACTGCTTATGTCTTCTAGTACTGATTTGTCGTTTTACACGTTCAATAACAAAAAACTATAAGTTATTAACTAATTTTACCAATCATATCAGATTAATATAACCATCTAGTCAAATTAACAATTTTTTTGTAAGAGAGTCAACTAGTAATCAAACAAGGCAATAATCTATATTAATTGCTTAAGATGAATGGAGCAACACAATTCATCACTAATTAAAAAGAAGGGGGGGGGGGGGGAATTACCAGCAAAGACCATCGATTAGGGTCTCGTATAACAAATGGAAATATTTCTGATGGCTCCATGGTTTCTGACAATAAGAAATGTTCAATCGCTTCCTCAAAACGCAAGTCAAACAGCAAAAGAAACCCCACTTGAGCATGGACAAAAGACACCATTTCTCTAGAAAGGTCACCATCAACCTCAAGCTCCTTCACTAAGGAGATCGCTTCCTTATAATTCTTCTTCCGTAACAAATCTTTAATTTGTTCTTCAGATGATATTTTACGGTAACAAAACACCTGCCAAATGAGTATCAAAAAGAACAGCGAACGATTATCATTAAGCATCCAATAAATTATACTTAGATAACTAAGCAGACCTTGCCAATATGACAATAAAACAATAGATAGTGAAATAAAAGTCCCTCCAAAAAATTAAGAAATTCTCCAAGATCTTAAAAAATTAAAACATTTTAAACCTATTATTTAATTACATAAGAATGTCTTTTCTTATTAATTCAGACATCTCCATGTAACAGTGTCTTCTCCCCTTTCCTCCTTAAGTATATTGGTAGGGCTAGCAGCACTATAGATCACTGGTAAGACTTGCTTTCTTCTGATATTTAGTGCTGTGTATAGTTCTTGTTTTCCTCTTTTTGACTCATTGACTGCTGCTTAATTAATTAAAAATTTGCTCAAGAGCTTACGCATATATAGTTTTGCTGGTTATGTTGGTTTTAGTTTTGAGAATGAATTAAAATATTGTGTATTGTGTCTTCCTCTCATCTCATTTAGAAGATGAATTGATTGATGAGGGGACTCCAGTTACCAAGCATGTTAGATCAGCCCTCAGCCAGTCAGCCCTGAGGAGGTCCTTTTTGATATAAAACCTAGAAAGAATAAGATAATTCAGTTCTTAAGAATGATAAGTTTGATTTTAAATTATTCCAATTGTGATAAAGGTAGTAACATGCTCTTTTTTAGCAAGCCAATGAGTTTGAAGTTATAAGCCTTGTTTCACAGTATAGTGTTTTTCTTAAACCTCAATATTATTCCTTGTTCTTCGTAACTTCACAAGTTGTGATCAAGATGTGTTCATTGGTGCTAGACTATCCTGAGAATGCTAAGGGCTAATATAAGGGAGACTTAGTGGCTTAGCTTTAAAGGAATTGTGTAATCTAATATTCTAATTTCAGTCAAAAAAAGAACTTGTTACAGCTGCTGAAGATTAACCTACAAATCAAGATGTATTAAGAGATTTGCAGAATGTAGAGAGCTTGTTAAATTATAGCTCTAGAAAGGAAAGACCTTCCTTAAACTAATATATTCTGTTAACCATGAAGGTTCTGTTAAGCATCCGAATGAGTCGACTTCGCAACAAGTGGATCAAGGATAAGATCAGAGTCGTTTGACAACAAAGATCAGAGTCGTTTGACAACAAAGATCAGAGTCGTTTGACAACAAAGATCAGAGTCGTTTGACAACAAGATTAGACTAGGTTGTCAATACAATCAGGTATTCATGGAAACTGATTGTACCATTTGGATTGACCACAAATGAAAACACCAAATGTTGTTTATGCATGTTTAATCATAAATGCTAATACAAGTAGTGGAAGGCCACCTTGAGTTTAATGATAAAACATTATATTAAAAAAATAATAATAAAAAAATAAAAAATAAAAAAAATAAATAAAAGGACAACAGAAATAAATAATCGCAACTTTGCTCCATCTTCCCAAAACAACCCCTTTTACTGGGATCTTCTTTCAACAATCTCTTTGACCTATAATCTGCTAAACAGGTTAAAATCTTTTTTTTTTCGAAGTCTATCTCCTCCTAACATGGCCACTAGTCCACCACCATAACACCACCCTAAAAATTCACTTGCCCTCTGAAGTTCAACCCTGCCATGGCCACCCCAACCCACCATGAACCCCCCAAGCACACCGAAAAACCCTCTACACACCCCCAAAACTCAACCCAAAATCCCCTTACCACCCCGAAAACCAAACCCTTGCCACAATAAAACCCCCATTCCAACATAAAAAAACCCCACCCCGGCCCTAAAAACCCATTAAACAACCCGAAAACTCAACCTCCACCCCGAAAACCCCACCCCAACCCCAAAAAAAACCCTAAAAAGTGAAAATCCCCTAGCCATGCCAAGAAAACCCTATAACTACTTCGAAAACCGAACTCCCACCCTGAAAATCCTCACCCACTCCTAAACCCCACCATAGCCACGCCGGAGAACCCCCTAACTACCCGTAAACCCTCCGGCCACACCAAGGTGATCATTCATGCCTTGGTGGGGTTGTAGGTTTTTTAAAACTATTTTTGTTTTTTTAATTGTTAAAAAATAAAATATACCTATTAAAAGCCGACACGTGGAAATAACCTAAGAAAAACGATAACCAGTTGCTAAGGGATCGTTAAAAGAAGACTCTTGTCAAAGGTTGGATTATTTTAGTATAATTGAAATGTAGGATTATTTTGGGAAAATGAAGCAAAGGTGGGATTATTTACTTATAGTTTTCCAAACAAAATGAAATAAAAATAAATTTTCCTTTTTTAAATAAAAAATAAAAAAAAAATAAAACTCTTCTTTGTAAATTGATCAAATTTAAACTGCCGCTAAGAGAGGAAATTGCATAGATCAATCTCCCATATTTACATGTTTGAAGGGTTGTGTTACTACAGTTGGTAATTAAAATGATGCACACAAGTCTTTAGAAAAAGTGATTCCTAAGGTCAAGGATCAAACAGTTAACATTCCAAACTTGGAAAAGGTTAAGGGCATTAAAAAAGATAGTGACATAGAGTCCATTGTTTCCATGTACAGTAGCAACTGTTTTGACTTACTTGACACTCCAAAAACTCCTAAATCCTCCCTTCGTTTTCTCAGGTATGCCTTGACCGTGTCAAGTTGATGGATTTACTAGGAATAAATTAAGTAAGGCCACTAAATCCATGGTATGGAGGACAGATAATAATTCTAGTTAGTATCCCCCAGATGATGATACTAACAGATCATGTATTTTCGTATATGAGAGAAGATAGCTCAAAGTAGTCCAGTTTATTTTATGTACTTCTTATTTCCTTTTGTCAGCTTTCTACTTTTTCTCTATACCCAAAATTGCCCAAACAATAGGAAACACAAGATGATTTGTAAAACTATGTTGAGGTTATTATTGATGCATGCCAAAGCTGCAATATCAAAAGAAAGAACAAATGGATAATCTTTCAAAGGAGAATATCTCCATATGTCTTTTACACTAGCATCAAATTCTCGCAACTAAATTATCAGAATATTTCTTGGCCAGAATGTCATATCCAGCAATGAAGTTACCCATCAATTCTCTGGACTGAATTAAATGATTCAATAAATAGAGGATACCTCTGAAGTAAAACAGGAAAAGCAGAATGAATGTCTGATCTAGTAACTATTCCGAATTTCTGAGACAGTAAGTTAAGAAGCAAATAATAGGGGGCAAACAAAATAAAGCACTTTACCTTAGATGATGTAGCAACTACAACAAATCTTCCATTCACATCCTCCTCGTCAGAAACAAAACAATTACTTGTTCCAACATCACCCTTGAAAGAAAGAGCTTGAACACAATTTCCTGATGTTTTATGATATAATTCCATCTTTCCATTACTAGCAACCACCACATACGAAGATATCTCAGCAATCGAACGAGGAACACAAACAAATACCAGGGTACCACCAACGGGCTGTCCATGACTATCCACTACAATGCCCGCATTATCAACTAGTAGAAGCACCTTCTTATCTTTTGACAACAATTTGAGACAAGGAATAGCAGCCGTATCAGGCAGAGAAAATATCAAATCAACATGCCCTGTAATACAGGACATCAAACTATAAGCATTATCAGTCCCTAAAATCAATGAATCATCAAGCCAAGCCATACTCTTCACACCATCAATACAAGACATTTCCTTCAAAACCACGAACAACCCACGTTGCCCATCCGCCTCTCGATCATGCTTACTACTGCCTGAATTCAGCTCAATGAACACCACTTTCTTCCCCATTGCCACCACAAAAAGGCAGGCACCATCATTATCCACTTCCCTAGAACTGAATTCCTTAACCCTCGCCCCATTCGATCTAACCCCGCCACCTAACTTTTTCATAAGCCTCCCACCTACACTACTACCACTACTACTAACTCCCTCTTCATTAATCCAATTAGAATTTCCAGATTCAGTACTACAAACCCTTCTAGCAACAACATTAACACCCTTCAGAATCCCTAACTTTTTCACAGGCTGTAACAATTGCAGATCAACTAGATACAAAAACCCATCAGATAGAACCAAAATTCTACCAATTTGATTAACAACATGAATTGAATTAATACCAGAATGACTGATACTAACACATCTTACAACCTTCAACTTACCATCATCATCGATTGTCGCCGATGACGATGATCGATCAAAATTAGGGTATATGGTCAACAAAAGAAGATCACCGGAATTGGTACCACAGTAAATTAAAAGCTGAGAATCATCGATAACAGCAATGGCGACGCAGTTGAAGGAATGTAGAGAAGAGGAAGACGATGAAGTCGATGAGAGGTCAAAGTGTGCCAAAGATTCTAGGACTGTCCTACAATTTGAGGGCAAGTTCCGTCCCTGAGCCAGGGCAGAAGGGACGGAGACCCTTGACCCAGGGAGAAGAGGTCCGTTTTCATTGTTCCTTCCTAACATAGAAGTGGTAGTGCTAAATCTTACCTTGGAAGGTATTTCAATGGAGGGTTGGAAGCTTAGAAGTCGCTTCAATGGAGGATTTAGACATCAGAGTACGGTTCAATTGAGGAGAGAGACGGAAAGTGAAATGCTCAAAGGAAGAACACAAAAAAGGAAAGGGAAACACTGTGTTTTCAATTTTTTTTTTTTTTTTAATTATTGACGGGAGTGTTTTCAATTTTTTCTATTACACTAGTTGCCCCATCGCGCACCTGGCCAATACTGAAAATATCGACACATCGATAGTGTTTATTGGATTTCTTGGTTAAAGTTTTATTTCCATATTGTATATTTTTGAAACGAATGATAAATTTTAGTTTTTGTAAATTTGATATGGATATGGAAAAAATTGGAATGATTTGGATATCGGGTGTTGATATCAAAGCAGGGATTTATTAACTTATTGTTAGGAATATATGAAAGTAAATTATTGTTAGAAATCATTCAAGCTATTTTAAGCTTTTGGTTTATTAACTTATAGATCATGCATTCTCAACGCTTGAATGTTTACACAAAATACATTAAGCTGCAAATAAATAAACCAGACATGAGAATGCTAAATCAAAGAACTTTATTATACCTTAAACGATAAATTTTCGAGTTATATGAATACATATGAAGCAATTACAGAGGCTAAACTGAAAAATCAAACCTCTTCTCTAGTTATCATATTCCTAATAACAATTGCACTTATACAACAACAGCAATCTAAAACGTTTTACATTATTAGCTCTCGTGCCAACAGAATACCACATAAACTCAATTTCAATTCCAACTATAAAGGAACAAGGTTAGATCAACATTTACTCGTAATCTATCTTTCAATTAATTTTTCCTACTCTGAATCCCCTGCGGAGGACCATTTATTGTTTCTGAACTTTGTTCTGACTCGGATTGCTTAGCTTGTTCACGACGATGTTGGCCATCCATCTTAGCAGCATCAACAATAGCTTGAAGTTCTTCCATCCTTCTACCTGTTTGCAGAATATCTTAATCCACCTGTAGCATCGACCTTTGCAATGTAGCCATTTCTTCCTCTAATTCACTCTTCCGAGATCACAAATTTTTTAAACAACGACGTGACAAAGGTATCTGCATCCAGGTGTCCAAATGTGCAATAGGAACATTTGTAGGCACTTTAGATGATGAAGATGACTTGTCAATGCTGTTTGACATTCTAAAATTGAACAAACCTTCAAGTAGGTTAGTATATAGAGAAATAAGAAATTATAAACCTAAATTATTTTCAGGAATTGAAATAATGAATACAGTCAAATTACAATGACCTAGGCTTTTATAGAGTTCTTAACATTCATTATTATGAATTTCATACATATACAAAAAACAACACATTTGTGGTAAAATTTGGTTGTAACCTGCGTATCTGACAAGGGTTAAAATGGTCGCTACAATCTAACTCTCAATCAAACAATACTTATACGAACACCCTATAACCAAGTACAATGGCAAATAAAGGTTCGGTCCACGAGGAACGAGAGTAATTGCAAATCAATCTTAAACCTAAGCTAGTTCGAAATCAATGGAAAATGGTGTTCTAAAATACTACTAATAAGATGGAATAAATCAATAAACTAAGACACTAGGGAGAACGGGAATCCGCCTAACCATTGGTAACTAAGCAACAAGGAATCACAGAGACAAACGGGATATGCAACGACTATAAGTCTGATCAATATCATGTGATAGGAAGACAACGGGCAATACTAAGCTTGGATTTCTCATGCACTTAACATTACTCGATACATAATCAAACCACATTCAATAATGAAATACTCAATTCACAATCTCTTGTTCAAATCAAGAATATCATGCAATCAAATTCAAGATTCTAGGTTAGCTACTCCTATTATAATGAATTAACATGCAATCGCATATAATCAATTTAATCACAATCCGTTTATCAAAATCAATCCTCAATTACATAGATTACCTAGGCCGGGTTTCATCCCGAAACCCTAGCTAGGAGACTACTCACACATATTCATAATCAAAGCAATAATGAATTCCAAAAGCATAATAGATATAAACATGAATTCTGATTAAGGAATAATAAAGCTTGATTAATAAACAAGAATGAATAATACCAATTGTATTGATGCGAATCAATGGAAAAGTTCAGAACTTTGATATCCGTCGTCAATGAATAATACAAAGAATCTTCGCAAATCTTGCTTCAAATCAATCCAAGAAAACTAAAATCTCTAGAAATATCTCTAAGAAAACTAATGAATCTCTAATACTAAGAACGTTCTCCAATAACTCTCTACAAAGGCTCTCAAAACTATCTCTAAAACTGTCTGAGGAATCCTCTTAAAGTTGGGCCTTATATACGTCTTCTAATGCGGAGAAGTCAAGCGCGCAGTTAACCCTGGATCAGCACGGTCGTGCTGTATTTGGCACGGCCGTGCTAGCTTGTCAGTAAGTAAACCGGATTTCTTCTTCAAATTGGCACGGCCGTGCAGCTTCCTGGCACGGCCGTGCTAAAAATGACACGGCCGTGCTGAATATGCTCTAGCACGGGGCTCATACTGAAGCTGACACGGGCACGGGCAACATCTGGCACGGCCGTGCTAATGGCCTGCACGGCCGTGCGGGTGCGTGGATACTGACACGGCCGTGCTATTGGCTTGCACGGCCGTGCTGCCTTGCCTGGGGTTGCTTTCTTATAGGCCAGCACGGGTGTGCCTATGGTAACACGGTCGTGCTGCCTGTGCTATGTAATCAATGCACGACACTTGAACTTCCTTAACTCCTCGGACTCCGGTCAAGGCTAGCTCGGTTACGCATCAAAGGCTCGGGATCCGATTAAACTCGGTTGATATTACCTGAAAACACATCAAAAACAAACCGAAAACCCGTGAAGCACGTAATATGGGGAACGTAAGCATAACAAGGTAATAATCGGCCAAAGCGGCCCCAAATACATCCAAAATCATCCTAAAATATGCTCTAAAGCGCGCCCTAAAGTGCGCTTGTCAGTATCCATCCATAAAGGATAACATCGCATGTTCAGCCGTGTTATCTACCAATATATCAATATGTGGTAGAGGAAAATCGTCTTTAGGGCTAGCTTTATTAAGATCCCTAAAGTCGACACACATATGAACTCGTCCATCCTTTTAAGGGACTGGAACTATGTTCGCTACCCATTCTGGGTAATTACATACGCGAATAAAACCGCCGTCCAACTGTTTTTGTACTTCTTCTTTTACTTTTAATGCGACATCAGATTTTATTCGTCGAAGTTTTTGTTTTACTGGTTTAGAAGTAGGGTTCAAGGGAATGATATGTTCCGCGATTTCCCTATCTATTCCCGGCATGTCATTGTATTACCAAGAGAACACGTCTTCGAATTCTTTTAGCGTCGATATGAGGGTCGATCGCTCTTCCAGATTTAGAGTTAAGCCAATTTTGACTTCTCTCTTATTTTGTTAGTTCCTATATTAACTATTTCAGTTTCTTCAACAATAGGGTTCTTTTGTTCTCGTTCATTCATTAATTTAACCAATTTATTAATGTTATCATCTTCATTAGATTGATTGTTAGAGCATTCTAAAGATTCAAGAGAAGGCATATACTCGGAAATAGAGCTCATATTATTAAAATCAAAAGAGAGTACATCAAGAGAAGAATCCTTTTTGAGATCTTCGTCCTTAGAACTAGAAAATAAAGACTCAGCAATGGCCACAAGGCCTAGATTTTCAGCTTCCCTAGAGTCTACAATAGATTCATCGTCCGATTCTTCAAACATCTTCCCTTCGCCTATGACGATCTCCAGTTTATCGCCTTTGTGATTGATCCATTTGAAAGATTTCCTCCATCCATACTCAAAAGTTTTGTTTGAAGGGGTGATCAACGAGGTTGGGTCAAAGGCTTCATCTTGAATGGCGTTTTGATTGGTCATTGTTGCGACATGATTTTGCTCTAGTCCAAATAGCAAGTTAAATGCTTGCCCATCATAGCACCCTATAGTTGGGTGTTTTGATTTAACGATACTAAGATTGTCATCCAAGAAGTAGTAATCATGAAATATCTCAAATCCAGGCTTCTTGATTCCTTCCACAACTAAGGGTTCCGAAAATTCGTAGCATGGGTAATCTTCTCCCTCCCTAATGAATTGTCCATTAAGGGTTTGTTGATAGGATGAGAGTAAAGTGATTATCCCTTTCTTATTATTGTCTCTACGTGCTTTTTTTTTGGCATCGTGAGACTCCAATTCTTCTTTGGTTGTTTTATATCCCAATCCAAAGGAGAAGCTTTTCTTTGGGATAGGAAGTAAGAGAGATTTCTTCATTCTTATTCCCAAAGGCATCCCAAGAAAGTAACTACTCTTGAGCAAGATGTTGTTTACTATCCGAGTGGAATATGGATTAAGCTTGAATGGTACTTCCAAGTCTTCTTCCATTTCGATTGTGAAGATTGGCTCCACGACAAATCCCCACATGTCTTCTTCATCATTATCATGGTTTATTTCTAAGAGTGATTGATCATTTATTGCTATTTTAAGTGGAGAAGCATGTATAGTCATCGGAAGCCCTTGATAGTTCAACCTAATCATTTGATGAAGTTGTAGGGAATATTTCAAGCATTAACCCCTAGCTTAAACCCCATAGTGATCATACACTAAAGTACGGTAGAGTCCAAAGGGAAAGAAGATAGAGCAAAAGAGTCGCCAACAAGTTTTAGGAACTTGTAGACCGTTCACGAGGTGAAGGTTACACCCCTTAACGATCCAAGAGATCGTCAACTCCATAAGGTCTTGAACCAAATAGGGTTCGGGGATGAAGGTACAAATCCAACCTAGAAGAGATTGAACCTGTCCTAATAATAGGCCTCTACTTTATTCTGATCGTATTCATGTGCGCTTTCTGACTGACATGCAATCATTAGGTTTACCCTAAACATGTTTAATCTATGTTGGTTTAATTTAATGCACAAACAAAACTATTATTAGCGATCACTTGAATTATAATCATATTAACCCTAAACAAGATTATTAATTATCTTATTAAGCGTGATTACAAGTACAAATTCCCTTTAAGCATGCATAAAAGGCGTGATCAAGCAATAAATAATAATATATATCAAGCAACACGATAAATAAAAATCATCAAGATAATAATATTCATGTTAAAGCATAATAGCAAGATCCTAGGCATGATACTAACAAGATTAATAACAAATCCTAGCATGTCACTAAACAATAAAAATCAAAGCTTTATCCCTAACATGATACCAAAAAACATAAATATTAGGAAGAATATAGGAAGCATCATACTT